TCTTTGTTTTTCATATCCATAGTAGTAAACAATATACTTTTCTGACTAAATATGTTCAATTCTAGTCCATTTCAATTTTATTGATGCTTTAGATCAATTTATAGTTGATTTATTTCATCTTCACTCTGCTGAATTGTTTCATGTTTATTCTTATGTTCCATGTTTTCACTGGAACCTCACTGTTTTTGCAGAAGAAACTTATGTACGTTTTATTTGTCAGCATCACAGATGTCAAGTAGCCTGTCATAAACCCCATTAGTACTCTTAAAGTTCCATAACTTTTGCACAGTAGCATGTTGAGTACCATCTGAACCCAGCGTACCATCATACTACGTTGTCAGTCATTTTCTTTGCTCTATCTACATGGTTTTCTTGGTGGAATGCAGAAGTGATTTATCATCACCTTCTCCCTCACAATGTGAAATTATGTATTTCTGATTGTCATTAAAGTGATCATCCACCTCCAGCACCTTCCTGAGTCACTGCCTGCTTGCCTTTTCTGGTCAGCTGGGTTGCCTTGTGTTGCGTCCTTGGCGGGAAAGCAGACACGAGAAGCAGCTGGAGTTCTCAGTTTCTTTTATTCAGCGTTCAGCTTACAGGAAGATGGCTTCAGCCTCGCCCAAACGCCTCGCAGCCTCTTATATAGGCAACTCCCGGGTAAAAGGGTTACTTTTCCCGCGCCAGCACCCGCGCATGCGCACGGCGCTGGCGACAGCCTGTCTGGTCCCGGGCAGCTTTGCACCTGCCCGGGACTGCCTGCAAACGCCCGAGCCGTTTGCAAAGGCTCGGGACATAACACCCCTTTCCCCCGGGCTAAAACTACTACCAACATACAACATTTATTTTATATGACATTTTGCTCCCCAGTGCTCCCACTGTTTACTGGCTTTTGCCTTGCCAGCAATGTTATGTAGTCTTCTAGGTACTTGGGAGATTTCTTTGCTCTCTGTGACCTTCTTAGCTCTGGATTACTGGCATAAGTCCCCTGACTGGAGGGAGGCGTGAGCCTTTTCTCTCTATTGTGCCCTGGTGTCTTCCAAGGACTGTGCCCCAATGCCTGGCCTGCTCGCTTGCCCACCGGGCTCGTCAGGCCAGGGCTTCTGTTGCTTTGTGACCTGGTTGACCTGCCTAGCTGTAGACCCTCGGGCCCCTTGAAGTGATAGCCGCTGCTGGGCGTCTCTGTAGGACCTCCTAGGTCAGTCCAAGACCTGTCAGGAGGCTGTCCATTCCCTGAACCCCATTCTGTGTTCGGGCTCGTGTGGGTTTCTGTACTTTCCCAAAACTCAGGTGTTCCCTGATTTGTGCTAGGGTTGTTGTAGTCGGGACTTGGTTCCTCGACTAACTCTGTGTATGTTTGACCCCCTGTAGGATTTGGGGTAAGGTCAGGCCAACCTTGGGAATTGTGTGCCAGCTCTCTTGCGGGGAATGATTTGTTGGGATGCCCCCGGGTATCCTCCGTTGCTGGAGTGCTGTGTGATGTGTGTGGAAAGTGAGTATGCCCCCGGGGTGACTCCCTGGCTGGAGTAGGCGTGAGTGCCTGTTGTGTGGGTAAGCTCCATGACTTCCTTTTCGGAGCAATTGCGGAATCTTGGGACGGGCCGTCTGTGGCTCCCTCAGTGGAGATGGGCAGTAACTCTTGCCCTTCCCTTTGCTCCAAAGGGTCCCCCTCCCCCCCTGGAAAAGACCCAGGAGTCTCAGCAGAAAAGTCCCGCCTAGAGCGAAGTTGGTCGATGTGCCGACGCAGGACACGACCGTTGTCCAGGGCAACCTCGTAGGAGAGAGGACCTGTGATCCTGGACACAGAAGCGGGGACCCATGTATGACCAGGCCCGTAATTGCGAGCCCAAACCGGGGCACCCACAAGTAGTTGTCTAGGTGCCCTAGGATGTGAGGTAGATGAAGGCAGTCTGTCCGGATGCAACCGGTCAAGTCTAGTAGTAAGTTGGCGCCCCCAACGAAGTTCAGGGGTTGTGCCTTTCGTCGGCTCAGACACACAGCTGCAATGTGCCCTTGTTTGCCGCATGTCCGGCAGGTAGCGGAGCGGAACTTGCAGTCGGTTCTTCTGTGGCGACCTCCACAGCCGATGCACTTGAGCGGAGCCGAAGAGCTTCCCTTCTGGTTCTCTTCCTTCGCGGGGTGTAGACGGTCGACTTCCTCGTCCGGATCCTCCTCGGAGTTTCGTCGGACGTCTTCCTGGTGCACGGACGCACCCTCTGCACTGTTTCTGATCGGCCGCATGTTTTTGATGGCGCCGCCTACTGCTTCTTCTGCGGTGACTTCCCTTAAGGCGTCTTGGAAGGATAATTCTTCCTTTGCGAAAAGTCTCTGTTGTAGCTCGCGATGCCTTAACCCGCACACGAATCGGTCCCTCAGTCGTTCCTCGAGGTCCTTGAACTCGCAGGGCTTGGCGGCCTTCCGTAGCGCGGCGATGTATTCCTTGGCTGTTTCACCGGACCGTTGATCCCTCTGCTCGAAGGTGTGGCGCCATGAGATAACGGACACCTTGGGGTGGAAGTGCTCTTTCAGCAGCTTCTTCAGGTCTGCGTAGCTTACAGACTCTACTGGAACAGGTGCTACAAGATTTTCTGCGATTTCGAAGGCGTCTTGGCCGCAAACGCAAAGCAGGGTGGCGGCCTTCAAGCTATCTTCCCTCACTTGGTTTGCCTTGAAGTAGTTCTCCATTCTGGATACGTAGGACTCCCACCGCTCTGGATGTGAGACGTCGAATTCCGAAAGCCTTCCGATTTTCGCCATCTTCGGATCTTCAGGAGACGGGTCTATCAGCCAGCCTACCCCCGAATGCGCACCGGATTGGCGGGCAGCTGCCGAGTCGACGCCGTTCCTCTTTCGCCGCTCAGGACTCCTTGGGTAAGCTTACACTTCTTCCTTTCCAGGTAGTGCAAGGCATCCCATCCTCGTCGCCAGTGTTGCGTCCTTGGCGGGAAAGCAGACACGAGAAGCAGCTGGAGTTCTCAGTTTCTTTTATTCAGCGTTCAGCTTACAGGAAGATGGCTTCAGCCTCGCCCAAACGCCTCGCAGCCTCTTATATAGGCAACTCCCGGGTAAAAGGGTTACTTTTCCCGCGCCAGCACCCGCGCATGCGCACGGCGCTGGCGACAGCCTGTCTGGTCCCGGGCAGCTTTGCACCTGCCCGGGACTGCCTGCAAACGCCCGAGCCGTTTGCAAAGGCTCGGGACATAACACCTTGGATAATCTTACTAGAAATATGTTACAATACACTCTTGGTATTCTTTGCTCGTTCCTTCCTGGAATCCACCATGATGAGGTAGCCTAGCAGAACTTACAGGTGTCTCTGTGCTTGGAATGTTTAAAACTAAAAGTAACATTAGCAGAAAACAATGCCTTGTCTCTGAAAACAGGAGCTTGGGTTATTGAAAGCAGTGATCAAACTACTGTCTCTTTGTACACAGACTTTTCATCTGCTTCCTTTTTCAAATATATCTTTGAAGCTCTTCATTCAATTGTAGTTGGCAATTTTAAAAGCACTATACTTATTAAAAACCTGTCATCTCTGCTGGCTTCTCTGCCACTGCAGACATCAACAACATGCTTCATGTTGAATGGCCTCTGTTGTTCCTTTGTTTCTGCTTCCTCATCAGGTCCTCTGGTCTTAGTCAGAGGCATTTTCCCCTCTCTTGATTTTGCTAGTTGCTCTCCTCCTTATCCCATTTGATAGTCTTAGTCCCTTGTGATCTTCGGTACAGTTCTTCCCTCTCTTTGAACTATGAGGAGAATTCTGCTGAGCAAGAAGAATACCTCTGTTTCTATTCTTTTATTCTTTGCTTGTTCTTGAAACAGCCATCAATACTGCCGCTGTATTTCTATTGTTTCATTTAAGTTCTTTTTTACTCTTTATTTTTTCCTAAGCTTCCTTTTCTCGGTTTCTTCTTTGTCATGGTACTATTAGCATGGCTAACTAATTCTAACTAATCACAATCCTCCACTTTCTCTTCCTCATGCACACACCATTCATCCCCTTTGTTCTTGCATTTGTATCTTGAAAGAAAAGCTCCTTCCTTGAGAGATCTCTAAGTCTAATGTCATCCTAAGCCATAAGAAGAAGGCAATGGTAAAATTTCAAAATCTTTTGTCAGGGGACTAATTGCAGGGACTAATTCTGGCAGCTGTCAAGAGTCAATTGACTTAAATACATGCATGTGGTGTATAAATAAACAAATAAATCCTTACGTCTCCTGTCTCTTCCCTTAATGTCTACCACTTGTTTGCTTTGGCCCATCCCTGGAGGTCCTATTCAGTTTCTTTAATAAATGCATCTATCTGGCAAGCTCTTGTTACATACCCTTTGCCTCAATGATTTTAATTATTTCAAAACTCTAACCGCAGCCCAAGTTTGCAGGAACAGGAATATTCAAATATCAGCTTGTTTAATGAAACTCATTTGGCATAATATAAGCCACCAAGGTATCCTTATGGATACCACACAATGCACAATACCCATTGGTCAAAACTAAAACCAGAAAAAGAAAGATGGAAGTGAGGGTTTAATTAATTGGGTCTCTGGAAAGGCAAAAAAAAAAAAAATAGATTTGATTCAGAAGATTTGTATTAAATGCCAGGTAAATGAGGCTTTAAAGAAAAAATATTGAGGATCAGTTTGAATTCTAAATAATCTAAAGTTTAATAATTTTTCTGCCTGCAAATAATACATAAAATCAACTACATTTTTCTTTTATTAAGTAACAAGTGAAGGTAGAATTGGTAGCAGCATTCTATTGAAACCATTAATTGAGATTTTGCTGTTATTCAGTTCATTAAGCCCCTTTCAGTACTAGCAGTAAGGGGAAGAGTGTTGTTACTGATGTTGTTTAAGAAGCTATCATTCTTTGCTTAAAAGCTATTTCTAATGCATAACCATCTGTATCTGGTTAAGAGAATAATAACGATCGGTTGAAAGAAAGATTTTTCTGCCTGCAAATAATGCAGAAAATCAACTAGGCCTCTTGCTTTTCATTGTTCAGAACCTGAAACGTGTGGCAGAAACTTGGATGGATGAGTTTGCTGAATATGTTTATCAGCGGCGTCCTGAATATAGGCATCTTTCCACTGGCGATATTTCAGCCCAGAAGGAGCTTCGCAAGCATCTCAAGTGCAAGGATTTCAAGTGGTTCATGGCTGCAGTGGCTTGGGATGTCCCCAAGTATTTTCCACCAGTGGAGCCACAACCTGCTTCTTGGGGAGAGGTGAGAAACATACTTAAATCCAGGATTCAACCTAATCCTATCTTTATTCAAAATAGTCAAATACAGCTATTTATTTTTAGCAAACCTATTATTACCATGATACAGATTTCACAAAATCAGCTTTAAAGTTCACGGTGAGTGACTAGGCCACTAGAACTACCTAAGAATCAATTGCTGACTGGTAAAACTGTTTCATTTGATCCATCTTCATTTATCTGTACATACACAAAAATGTGCTGCCATCATTATTATTTTTTTGCCCTCTTTGACATTTTAAGAAAAACATCTTTACAAAATACAAGCATAATATTCATCTTTAAAATGAATAAATTGTACCCAACTCTTCTTTAGAATATAGTGCAGTGGAAATAGTGATATGTCAGTCTACTTTTCTCTTCTGAAGATTAAGCATAATCTTAAATTCAGATTTGCCTTCTTTTTGGGTAAATATACTTGTGTGTGCATAGTAACTTGATACAGCAGTTTCCTGTTACTGCTTTTGTTCACATTGAGACAAAATTACAATTGCTTGGGTCAAGTAATGTTTTGAAATATTCGATCTTCCTGGTCTACTTGCTGTTATGCTTTGTTGCTAATTTGCTGTTAGGTTTCATTCAATAACTGGAATAATTCCAATTAGATTGTCAACAGGAGGTCTATTTGTGAGTGTTGCTATAACTTTTCTTTTCATGCTTTCTCCCAAACATGCCTAGATAAACCTATGGCCAAAATTAAGCCCAATACTTTCTAAGCACAATCCAACTGAACAGAATTTATGACTTTAAAAAGTGAATATAAAAGATGCACCGCTTTCAGTATTGACTAACCTGTGCATTGTACCAACATAGCACATACTGTATATAAGGGATAATACAGCAGGTAAATTGTCTCAATTGCCTTATCCCAGCATAGCCAGAGGCCCTCCAGATATCATATTGCTGTATTTTCTCTCTAGCACTTCTGAAAGTGGAATATTAAATGTAAGTATTATGGACATTTTCCTTTGTCAAACATAAAAAATATTTTAAAAATAATTAGGATTTTAAAAAAAGGACTGTTCCATAGATCTGCATTATATTTCTCCATTTTTCTGCAATTTTGAAACAATGACACTTCATTGGATCTTTCCTGAAGCTTTTTTTGTTTGCTTGTTTTGAGGGCCATTGTCACTGATTGGACTGGGCGACAACAATAAGCTAAATCCATAATTACACCTTTTTTCCCATGAGGAGAAATACTTATCAACAGAGAGAGATTGGGGTAGAGTTGTACCCAAAATAGTTTTGGCCAGTATTTTACACTATTTTTGTAAGAAAAGTACAATATATCTAAAAGGTTCCAGAGGTTTTTGAACAAATTCTGCTCTATTGCTGTTCACTTTTACCCAATATCACTGTTAAGTCATGATAGTATATCATAACATAATAGCATAAAGTCAAGAGTTTGGTGTAGTAATTAAGGTGCTAGACTAGAAACCAGGAAACTCTAAATTCCAGTCTTCCCTTAGGCTTGAAATCCAGTTGGGTGACTTGGAACCAGTCACTTGCTCTCAGCCTATCTCCCCAACAGCATTATTGTGAAGAAAATACGAGGTGGAAGCATTATGCACGTTGCCTTGAGTCATTGTTGAGTTGAATAAAATAAAGGATATAAATATAGCAATAATAAAGTGTAGAAGTTTCAATGAAGTTTCAAGTATTGTACAGATGTACAAGTAAGTCTAATTTTGATGTGAATATGGTCTTTAACCTTTTCTATTGTAAATCTCTCGATGTGCAGTTCTTTATTTGTTCCATCTGGACATATTATAGAGAAATAACAGTTCAATATTATCTTTCCTGTACATACTATGTATGTCACTTCTATAATAATTACAAATGCCAAAGCATTCAAGCTGCTTTATATAAACCCTACTTCAATTCACAGGACCACAGAATTAATTTGAAACTCCTCAGTTTTGACTCAGATTAAAACTAATTTCAAGCACCTCTTTAAAGAGCTATCATTGGGATTTCATCTTCCCTGAAAATGTGTGATGTAGTTTGTGGCTAAGAAAAGTATTGACATAATTTTAAATGTTTAATTTGAAATAAAATATATAGAGGTATGTACACTTAAGTCTAAATCATACTTATCAACATTAGATACTTAACTACATAATTATGAATTTATGAACAATGAATACACTAATTAATGGAAAGATAAAAGATGGACAGAGTGACATTCATCTCTTGTGAGAATTTTATAGAATTCTTTGGCTATACTGCAGGATGGTAATTGTTGTGCAGACACCTTTCTTTCAATTGCTCCTTCAATCTCCCCCTTCTTGGAGAGAAGCATGGGAAAGTGGTTTTTTTTGCCATATGAATAGAGATGGTCATTCATCCTTCAAGGATCCTAATAGTTGTTTCTGGGAGGGAGAATAGAACATATCTCCAACTAGAGCTATTCACTGCATGGAATGTAGGTAGACTTGTGCTGGAATCTTTTCAACAATTTCTGCTCTCCAATATCAGGATATATTAGGGGAAAAATTGTATTCCAGTGTGTCAGGAAAAGAGCAATCTCAATGAAAAGAAGTTCAAACACATAAACCAAATCTTTTCAGGGGACTTAACAATTTTAAGTGTGTGGGGTAAGTACATGTGTGCATGCGCACACATATGTATATGTGTTTCTGGAAAAAAATCTATGTGGTCACTGAGAATCAACAAAAACAAGGAGTTGCTCACTGTTAGCTGGACAACTGGGACATTATCCAGCCTGCGATGAGCAAATCCTTGTTCTCCTAGCAACCTCTGGTGTTATATAAATGCAACCAGTGGCACAAATTCTAAAGAGTAACAAAGTCATGAAGAAAGAGGCTAGCACTGTAACAACAACAACAACAATAATAATAACCCCCAGTGAGGCACTACCTTGACGTGGTTGTGGGGCTTGTGTACTCTGAGGAAGATGAGAGCTATGCCAGAGGTTCAGCCATACTGGACAGGTCTCATCAGAGGAGTCAGACAAAGAGTGTCTCTCCCATAAAAAATATGGTGAGACGTAAATTTCAGAATGCCATACCGGCTCGGATGTTACCCAGGTTAACAAGGTCCACGCTAGATATTGGAGTTCCTGGATATCTGGTGAAAAATGGGTTACAGGACTCAGGACTGTTAGCTGAGCAACCAGGGCCAGCAGCTGCAGAACTACTGGAAGAAAAGGTGTCTACCCATCGCAGATACACAGTGATTGAAAACAAAGAAATATGATCTGTTACTACAGATCAAGTCCAACAAGAAGAGGATATCTAAAATGAATGCACCAGTTCTGGAAAGAACAACATCCAGAATCAGAAATAACAGAACAGACACTAGCAGATCAATGCCGATTTATAATACGAAATAAAGTATTCACAGAAACAGAATTGGACGAACTGCAAAGGTTTACCCAGGGCAAAGAAATCAAAGCCTTACCAGAAGTAATTCAGAATGTAGAGGCAAACCAGGGGGAGTTGGCAGTGAAGGAATCCAGCAGAGATATACAACTGTTCTCATTTGGAAACCAGGCACGTCTTCCTCAGGAAGAACAAAACCCTCTAACTAAAGAAATAAAAGAATTGAAACAAAGAATAACTGAGCATCTAGAACAGCACAAAAACAACAGAATAAGGCTACCTGCATTGAAGCTTGTTCCAAAGAAACAGCTAGCACAAGCATTAAAAGATGCAAATACTGCAATATCAAGTATAAGCACCAATTCACTGCAAGAAACAAACCAACTAATGTACAGCATAGCTGCAGTTATAACTGAATACCTGGGATGCAAAATCAACAAAGAAGAAAAACAAACAAACAGTGCACCACAAAAATGGAAGGTTAGACTAGAAAATAAGATCAGCAAGTTAAGATCACATGCAAGCAAGCTAGAACAGATGAAAGAAAAGAAGCTGAAGAACAAGAAGACCAAAGAATACCTAATCAAGAAATACCACTTAGAAACAAGGAAGATCAAGGAAGCACTGGAAATAATAAAGCAACAAATAACAGCTATAGCCAGGAAAATCAGTGGCTCGAATTGCAAACTATAGGCAGAACCTCCAATTTCAATCCAATCAGAAACGTTGTGATCTACAGAAGGACCCACAAAATAAAAAGATAAAAGAAAAATGGAATATTATAAAACACAAGATTAACCTGACAACACAAAAAGAATGGCACAGAAAATCAGGATGGCAAAACAAAATTACTTTGAAAATGCGAATAAAACTGGTCGATGGTTGGCTTATAAATTAAAAAAAGAAAAAGGCAAAAGAACAATACACCAATTACAAGATGAAAGTGGAACAGTACAATATAGACGGGGAAAAAAAAGAAAATAATACAAAATTTCTTTTCAAAGCTATACCATCAGGAAGATATATCAGATGATAAAGTCAAACAATATATTGAGGCAGCAAAAATGGGTAAAATTACTGAAGAACAAAAGAAAATGTTGAATAGACCAATAACTGCAATAGAATTAGAAATAGCATTGAAAAAAACAAAAAAAAACAACAAATCACCAGGCCCAGATGGAATTCCGGTCGAGTTTTATAAAAATACACAAGAGTGACTACAATGGATAATGTTGGAGATTTACAATGAGGTGTTGGAAGAGGCGAAGATACCGACAACTTGGACTGAAGCAATCATCACCCTCATTCCTAAGGAAGACTCAGACTTACAACAAATTCAAATTATAGACCGATTTCTTTACTGAATACAGATTATAAGACATTTACAACAATAATAGCAGAAAGGATAAAGAAAATTTTAAATAATTATATTCACCCAGATCAAAATGGATTTTTACCAGGACGACAAATAAAAATAACATGAGGATAATACTGAATACTTTAGAATTTTACGAAGTTCATCCTGAAAGACAAGCTACTCTGGTTTTTCTTGATGCCCAGAAGGCATTTGATAATTTGAATTGGAATTTTATTATAACACAATTGTACTATATGGATT